ACATGTGTTTCAAGTGTGGATGATTAAGTATGTGGGTCATTTAATGCTTGTCAAACGACCGAAAGAAACGCCCTTCCTCCTTCATCATAGGATATTACTCGTCCGATCGCCTGATACGGACGGCAAATTCGAGCGAATTAAATCTGCTAAAGTCACATTATTCCTTTAAAAGTGTGCACGGTAAATGTGTTCGTTACAAAAACTCGTCAGCGACTATCTCGTGACGGAATTGGCGCAAGGAGGGGGCGAGCGAGGGGAGGACACGGAGGGGTGCTGCGTCGGAATCATATCAGGGTGGAGATTGAACGAATGACACCGTGAGCAAATTTCTGCGATCGGTAGAACGACGAAAGCGAGCGTCACCCTCAAAGAGCGTCCGGCAATTAATTTTACAAGGGCGCAAAAGGAAGCAAAAAGTAAACAGCCCGGCGCGCATCCCGGGTCCATCGTCGCGACGATGGGTTTTATATCTCCGCTAGTTGTCAGGCCAACGAGTTCTGCCTCGTTGGCCACCGCGTATAATGTCCACCGTCAATATAAGCTGTCGGATGCTTTTTCCTAAATTGACAGATTTTCAATTTAATCAAGTTCCAATCTAATGGAAAAATGCCCGATCTATCGGTCGCGCGAGTAAGTGCGCGCGCGCGCGCACACACACACACCTACGTGTAGCGCATCTGTGTGCGTATGTGCCGACACTGCCGACGGGGATGACATACACACCGAGAGAATGTATGGCCGGCGCGCGCGGAGGGGCCAGATTGAAATAATACTTTTATGTTTAATCGCAATCGAGGAGCCTGCCCGGCGACGACGCGGAACCACCCGCCGATCTCCGAGATTAATCTATTGATAAACATTCCATCACTCCGCGAATATCATGTGAGAGAAATAGACGACCATCGATAGAATATCTCGGCGTTTTATTCTTTTTACTTCTTCCACTTTTTTTCATTCTTCTTTTTGCCACCCATTTCCACGTTCGTCGTTCTGACCGCGTTGCTTTACGGACGATCGCCCGTCAAACGTACGTTTTTATTAGCTAAATCTTTTGCGACCGGCAAGTATAATAATGCGTCATAAACCTGTAGATTTTTTTTTTTTTTACGAAAGCGCGACTGTGCGAGTCTCCTCGTTCTTGAATCGCTGACCCGATTGAGTACCATGATAGGTTACTATCCTCACTGGTCGTCCGCGTTAACGACAATTTGTTTATGCAAGAACATTATCTCTCAAATCATCCCCTCTGCAATCGGAAATGCGGAAAGAATAGAATCGTCGAGTGACTCTCATTGCGCTGATATTTGCTGCAACAATCTATTCCATACAGCCAGCGAATATCATTATATATTGCATGTATAAATAAAAGCATAGTGCGACGCGATAACCAGATTTTTTACGACCGATCAAGGTACGAGGCATCTCAGCGAGTCAAAAGCCGACTACTGGCGCGAAATGACTGTTTCTCGCCGGATTCTAATCAGCAGCCGCAGAGACCTGTGCGAGAGGAGGGTTTCGCTCAACAATAATCATAATAATTGTGAAATCCGATCGAAATGCAATTGACTCGCTGAAATGAGCCACCGAGGTAATGAGATCCGATCCGTCTGGGTGTTCGCGACTCCCCTGAATCGTTTACCTTCAATCACTTTCTTGACAGATGCATTTACGGTCGGGACTGGTGGCCATCAAGCTGGAATGCGCCTTAAGGCTGGTTACGGCGTATCGATCCATCGGACGGTCAACGCGCCGGATTCAGCTACGTGAAATTTGCGTCTTCGGATTCGAGAGGGTCTGGATAGGGTCGCTGCTTCTGCGGCAAAGCCTGTAGATGGTTTAGCGGCTTCTATCGTGTGACCGGCGAAATCTTCGGGACCACGAGTGGAGGAATATTCGTGACGATGCATCCGTCGAGCGTTTAACGGTTTCCGGTCCGCAGATGTGTCTGTGAGATACGCGAATATTTGCATATATATGCACATTACTGCGGTCTTTGCGAATGCAAAGGGTGCTCGATCCGTTTCGAGTTTGCGCTTCTCTAGCACTGCGCGATATATTCGTTTCGTATTTTTACATTACCTATATATACTTTACATTACGCATTTCCGTACTTGTAGAGCGAATCGTTTGTCTTTATCGGTCATTGAAATACTTTACTTTGCGAAAAATTTCAAGCTGAGAATATATGTGCATGCGCGCAGTTCTTTACGAATCCTTTAGCTAATGTCTAATTGATTGTGCGGACGACCTTGTGCACCTCACAAAATCTCTGTTTGTTCTTTATATCTTTGTACTTATTAGCGCGTCGCTGAATATCCATTATTCTGCCGAGAAAGAGAGATATTCCGCAATTAAGAGGAACGGCTAATGGCACTGAGGGGGTCGTTAAGAATACCGCGTTCAAAGGTCTAATAATTTATGATTGTCGAACAGAAGTTCGAGCGACTGTGAAACTCTACGCGAATGAGCTGCCCGCGATGAAATCGCGGATAAATTATTCCGCTGATATAACACTCTCGCGCGTCTTCGTTCATCGATCGATTCCGTAAAGTGTGCGGGATTTATTCTCGATGTTCCCGATCGAGAAAATTAACAGTGTCGCTACGTCGACGGTCGCGGGGGAATTTTTTTACGCGTGAAAAACTGGACGATGATGATCGATCGCGTCAGGAAATTCCTCCTTTTCGTCGCCGCGTATTTTGCCACGGAAGAACGGACGACATTATTATCCGTCCCGTTGTTACCTGCACCTGTGGGATGTTTCTTTTTGCCGAGAGCGAATGAAACATTCTCCTTCTTTTGCGCGTAAATTGCACGCTTCGTTCTCAGATGCGAGCCGGGCATTAAGTCCGTGCGTGGAGTCCGGCATGGATACTCGGTGTTTGCCGACGGGATAATAGTGTAATGGATGGACAGGGACAACGAGCTCTAAACGGATGAGACTGCCGTTTTCGAGACTCTAGTCGAGACGCGCTGTCGTCGTGTCTAGTGTATCGTGGTTGTTCTCCTCTGTCGCTTAATTGGCATCATTGTCGAATTCTTCGTAGAGTCTAATTCTTTACGTTTAAGAATATCATGCGGCTTGCGTTGTGGCAATTAAGATCGTAAAGTGACGGATCAACGCGACGTGACTTAATTACATCATTATCAACAAAGCGGTTTGTGTTGTGACGCTAGAAATTTGCTGTTACGTGAATTTACGATAGACTTACAAGATTACTTTTATATTCGCTATGATATCTCTGGACGAATGGTATTGGTTTATAGATTACATTTACATTCCATTTTTTAAACTAACGAGAGACGACTCTGTAGAAAGTCGATAAGTGAGAGTTAATTGTTCCAAAGGAAAGTAGACACGTTTGACGACTAGTAATCCCCGGACGCTTGTTTGCTAAAGTTTCCCTACTGGCTAGTCCGATGTGCAAGCATCGACAAAACTGGTCATCGTTCATTGAAGCGGGTACATATAAGCTACGTGCAAATATTTTCCGCTTTACGATCGCACAGCTGGAGAAGTCAGGATTTCCTCATAATACTTTACCGCCTAGTTCTAACGACTTACAACTACCGTTGCTTACAACTAATTTCACTACACGAGAAATAATTAACGACCGATTTGTCATTCATTAATGAGTTTTCGCTCCGCTTGTCCGCATCTCCCGATCGAAAAAGTCTTTCCTAATTTTTATATGAATCTCATCGCCGTATTTCTCCGCACGAGTAAGTTTTACATTAATATCGATAAATTCATGTAATGTTAGTGATAGTATTTATAAAATGCGATTTGTTTGCGATTAACATTCAAATTACTTTTAATACCGAAGATTACTGGTCAGACAGATTTGATTGAAAAGAGAGTCAACAAAAATTATTTTATTCTATAGTTGGAAAATTTTTGTATATAATATACTTTAAAAAAGGCACACTATAACAATTTTGATATTTCATCTTTTCAATTTATCCACATTGGTTTTTGCTACTTTGTTTCAATATCTCGTAAATGAGAAACAAGTTGCGTTACGTTAGCAGGCGATCGATCGCTTAATATGACGATTAGTCATTCACATATAAATTATAATATTTTTATCTCTGTTAGTTTGCAATCATTTTAATACTACAAAATATAGCACTCAAGATTGCGCAAGTAACCAGACTAACGACTTTCTTTTCAAATAATTATTTGATATTTAGATATGCTATCGCACAGTAATCATGACAAGAATCTACTTTATACACTACGTATAAATTGTGCATTATATAATTCTATAGAATTAAATTCTACCACGAGAATTTTGGTTCCCGGATATTAGCGAATGTTACGTAATCTCTTGACATAAATCGATATACAAAACTGCCATTGGTTTAACGTCTGATATTACCAGATCAAATTCTCTAAAAAAAAAAAAAGATTTTGTTAAATACGTTTTAAAAAATACAACACACGTTAACGAACGAAATCGCGTACATCGACTGCATTATCTTTGTGGAAGTCATTCGAGTACATTTTATTTTGTACGTTAATCTTAATACAGGCCAGAAAGATCATTGGCCGATTTAGGTTGAGATGCGTCATGGTAGCTACTTAACCATACAATTGGTTGTCATTGACACACAAAACCGTTAATAATGAGTGTGATGACCATTTCGATCGCCGTCTGCTTTAGCACTGTTGTAGCGATATCTCGATCGCTTCAACCAAAGCATGAGTCGAGCAATTGCTTAAGAATGCTAACCGACAGAAATAGGCCGTCGGTATCTTATATAGTAATTAACTACTTGCTACATCAAGCTAAAATATATACATTACGCCGAAATAATTTTCCAGAGACTGTACGTTCGTTTTTGCGGCAGTAATTGTTAATGCTTGTCATGCAATGTGTTGCGATTTCCGCCGAAGCGTAACCGCTCGGCGAGCAAAACACATCGAAAATGAACAATCGAAAGCAGTTAACCGATTCCCAACATCAATAATCAACGAGAGGAATTCCTGCGCTTACCTCGCTCTTGAGATTCAATGGCACATCGCAGGGGGCGTCCAGCTCTGCCTCCGCTTTCACCTGATGAGACAGCATACTGAGGCTGTGCCGGGGCGGTACGGCGGTCGCCAGCATGTTGGAATGCTGCAGATGCTGAAGACGAGGCTGGAGATGGGGCTGGTGGTGATAAGGCGGCGACAATTGGGTGTTCAGAGTGCGAAGATCAGCTGGCGGGGAAGCGGGCGCAGCAGTACTGCTCTGTTCCTCCTCGGCCGAACCCTCCGCCATGTCAGCCTTGCATCCCGGGGACTCGTAATCTGCAAATCGACCAAAACTCTCGGAGGACCGTTCTAATAGCGGGCGCGCCGCCGCGCAGCTCCTGCCTGGTAGGACGCAATCCCATTATAGCGCGAATATAATTCGCGCGTTTCGATTCAATAGCGCGAACGGTTGCGTCGCGTCGTGCCTAATAACGATCTCGCATTTTCGATTTAATGCTATTTTATGAATCCGAGGAAATCGTAAAGAAATCACGTACGCGCGATTTTCATTGTGAATATAAAGCTCTCTCGAAATATAGAGCTCTCTCTCTCTCTCTCTCTCTCTCTCTCTCTCTCTTTTATTAGAGAATCTCGAAATATAATTAAATATAATAATCAAATATAATTATACCTATTTTTCAACAAGTGCGTTGACTTAACTTAACGACTACACTGAAAGAAAAGATTGGCTGCTGCAGCAAATTAGATGGTAAAATATGGCATAGCATTTTTAATTGGTTGCTGCAGCCAATTGTTGGTTGTGTTAGCCTATGTCAGTATAGGATTTTCGATTGGCTAACGCAACCAAAAATTGGTTGCTACAGCCAATTAAAAATGCTATGCCATATTTAACCATCTAATTTGCTGCAGCAACCAATCTTTTCTTTCAGTGTATTAAAAAAAAAAAACAGGGCAGCTATATACGATACTTTTCTTTAATAAAAGACGAACGAAGTAATTTTCCACAAAAGATGAGAAAGCTTGTTAAATCGATCGATATCAATTTGAATTGCTTTTGGTTTTTCAAGGACCAGGGGAGAAGATGACACGCGAGATGCTAATTAAACCGGCGCGACGTGACTCGCGGTATCGCATCAGCCGTATCGAACGGCAGCGCGTGCAGCTGTTAAGAATGCAGACACTGGAAATTAGGAGGAGGCCCGTTCATCTTCCAACTTCAAAGCAAAAACATTTGGTTGGCGCATCGCATCGGATGAGAGATAGAGAAAGGAAGAAGCGGCGCGAGAGGCACCGAGGGAGGTTTCAGAATAAAATCGCCGCGACTAACGCGCGCTACCGCCCGCAGTCATCCCCTCCCTCCTACTCCTCCTCCACCCCGCATTTATCCGCCTAATTATTTTTATCTAAGCGTTCAGTTAGTAAGAATTCAAGGGCAATGAAATCACACTACCGTCTGGACAGGCCGTTCCCTCGTCGCCTTCTGCTCGCGTCTCTCGTTTCTCTACCACCATCTCTCCGCGCCACCTCCACCGCCTGCCTCGTCGCGCCGCGGCGGCCGTCGTATACTTGGTGAACGCAACTAATAACATCTGCTTCTATTTTTGCGCTGGCCCGAGTCCAGCGCTTTACTTTTTAAAAGCCGCGCGCCTATGACGAACGGCTGGATGGATCATCGAGCGGAAGCCCGGGCGTGGGGGGCCGAGAGTGAAACGAGCCGGTTATTCTGGACAAATTATTGTCAAAGGGCGAGAAAACACCTTCTGCCTGCGAGCTACTTTGTTCCTCATAAAAGGCGTTTTATAATGGCCATCGTAAAAATATTTGATGCTGTGCTTTAAAACGGCAGCGTGTTTATAATAAAAGCGTTAGGTTGTTGGGTACCAAATAGACCGCTCACAAGTGCAAACTCTGGTGTTAATGTCGCCTGTTTCCTATAAATATGGGTGTCCTAACGCGCCCGCGATATGTGGCGTCTGCTTAGCGACAATTGCAAAAGTTTCTCAAGACGCCGAGATGATGGAACGGGAGCGAGAGGATGGAACGCACATTTTTTTTCTACGCGAAGCCGCAGACTGCCGCCGATTGCTGTGGCTTTGAACTTAAAGTGATTTATACCATACTTCACAAACTGAGAAGCGAGAAAAATGATCAAGATTTATTTCTGCATCTGCTTGACATTGTTCACCTGTTTTCATATTATTTCATTGCTAGACTTTCAATTCATCGAGCAAGCACAGAGTCATCTTCAACATCCACCAATTTGAAATAATATAAACTTCAAAATAAATTAATTTTTTTAATATATTTATATTTTTAAATAAGATTGAAAATAAATTAATTTTTTTAATATATTTATATTTTTAAATAAGAAATAGTTAAAAAAAGATATTCTTTAGAAATCGCGAGATATTTATTGAACAATAGGATAAATATTTCAAGATAGAAAGGAGAGTCTACTATTCAATAAATATCTCGCTATTTCTAAAGAATATCTTTTTTTTTCTTTTCCGACACAGATAATACGATCTCTTAGCGTTTTCAAAGTTACATAAATACATTAATTGGATATGATATTTTTAAATATGTACAGTAAGATGGTTTATACTAAACTTTTTAATATAAAAGCTATTTTTATATACTTTTACTTATTATATCACGGAAATTAACAATGACATGTATATAATATTGTAGAAAGACAAATTTATTATACTTTAACAGTCGTATTTGTCTCACATCAATTAAAATGATAAAATAAATCAGTCCAGTATGCAGGAACCACAGCTAGGCGAAGAGATCGCATCGATCATCGCTACGAGGAATTAATTTACGCAACGTGCAACGAGAGGAGCTTTGCCGCTAATTAAGCTGATTAATAAGCATTATTCGATTTTTGTGCCATGGAAGCGACTGCCGATAAATGGCTTGTAGGTTAATTCTCATTGAAGCCCGTCGCGAAGACAAAACTGTCATACGATAATTTTATCCTTAGGCGTTTAATATATCTTGACGAGGACGTTAATATTATGCGAATGCATTAGAATTAATGAAGATCTTTGAATTTTATGAATTAAAATAAAATGTTAACTTATATACACATACGTATCTGGAAAAAAAATCTTTAGAGTATTCAATCTTTAAATATTTTTTTCCCATTTTATAAGAACGCGCCACCGGAGCAAGACTGTATGCAACCTATCTTTTTTCCGTTTGCAGTCATTAATTTCCGTCGGAATCATATTAATCGCTGTAGGGCTGCGCCCGTGAAATTACTAGACGCTTTAACCACCGGCTGTCCAAACCGAATTCGTCCGCAGCGATTATTATATCGCGTCCTGAGGTCTAATGCCGGGTATTCCGAAAGCTAGCCAATTAGTATCGTCGATTTGGATGCTTTAATGAGAGTGCGGTTTCATTAGCGTATCGCATCGCCCTCACGGTTTGTGATTTGTGAAATAGAAGAGGAATTCTTAACCGGACGAAGATATCGCGAGTGATTATAGCGCGATCGTTCAAACGTCACCATGGCCGACCGTTTGAAAATTGGTACCTTCATCGTGCGACCTTGAAAAATGCGTTATTCGATCGAGATCACATAAATCTTTCGAAAAAGGTACGAGGCTACCCGCAGGGTTCTTCTGCAAGATATTCGACATACAAATTAAATCGGGCATTCTACGTACGGACAATATTTTATGTTCCGTCCAGACTACTCTATTTAAAATTTCCGATTTCTCCCGTACGATCGAGCGGATCGAGTTATTTTCCGGAACGACAAAATGGATTTCCTTTCTCATCGTACCGCCAACCTTCTTTCAACGGCGACTTCTCCGGTAGTAATCACTCGCTGAATAAATGGTGAAAGTCCATGTAATAGGATGCGCGATTAATACGCCAAGGCGATTGATATGAGAATCACTCAAGGATCTCCGAAAGCAATTAAAACAGGCGCGTTACGCACGATGCTGTCATCTGATCAGACGCGACACGATACGATGCGTCCTTTCCTACCGTGTGAGGAAGTTTTCGAAGTCTGGTCAGTTATCCACCCTCGGGAGGAGTGTCCTCGGGCGACATCGTTTCCTGATTTTGTCACGTACCTTTACATTCTTCTTTCTCACTTCTTCTCACGTCAGTCAACCCGTGTCTTTCTTCCGCGTCTTGTTGTTAGCCCGCGGCATGCATCCACGTCGCTATAATGCGCCATTTCGCATTATAGTTCTATAAGCGACATCGTCGACGACAACGACGACGACGACGACGTGGAAGCAGCGGCAGCGTGCAATTAAGGGGTTGATTGATGTTAATTCAAAGGGTAATTAAGAATGTTGCGCATAAAAATCCAGTAATTTATGGTCATTGGGGATAATTATATGTTGACCAGCTTGTAATTGCAAGCGCTTCGTGGTATAGCGCGTCGCATATACGCGTTCAGGGTTCGCGGGTAGCTACCTAGTAAGCGATGTGTAAGTGTGTGTGCGGACCTCTTAGAGCGTGTGCGGGCGGGGATATACGGTCTCAGATCGCGGCTTATTATAGGGGCCAGTAGATAAGGTGGGTTTAGAAACAACCGGGCGCCTCTGGCCAGCAGATAGTTTCTATGTAGCCGCCAACATTCTCCTCTTGGTACGACGCCGCTCCGGGCTATGGAGGTGTGTATAAACCACCTAAGCCGAAGCCTCCAAGCCACTCGCGATTTACGAGGCCGATTCCTAACCGTCAAGACGGCAGTTTTAGAATTCTAGGCCCGGTCCAATTCGCACTCGACACGCCGCGACGCGACGCACAAATCGTGGTGCTGCGTGTCTGGGGTATACGCTCTCCGTGTGCGGTGTTCAAGTCGTCGCTATAAATAACTAAACGCGGATAATCGCCATATGGCTACGCATGCAACGAACCACCGACCGTTTCTCCGTAGCACTGACGATGCTTCGCTTTCGATTTCCTGGTATGAGTCTATTCATCGAGAGCTTTTCGCTCGAGCCACAAATTGCGCGTCAGTATTTCTAATTTTGTTTCTCGAAACGGTGACGCAAAGAGAATTATTTGAATCGCGTTTGTTTAAACCATTAGTAAATTTCCCATAGCTTTTAATTTTGAAATGATCAACAAATAAGATTTATTTAAAAAAAAAAAGCCCGAAAGAGTCTTCAATTCATCGATATGAATGAGAGGGTGAATAACATGATAGAAGAGAACGTGGTGTGGGTAACCCTCCTACTTAAAACAGTGCCAATAAAAAGATCCCAGCGGGACCAGTTGGCAACCGCCCATCGCGACATTGTCCTTGCCGAGTCTTTTTTTTTTCACGATCCCGTAATCAACCAGGCGCCCTAATGGCAAAGCATAATCGTGGCTTTGTGGCGTCTAACCAAGTATTAATACTAAAGAGAAATAAGAAAGGAACTCGCGCGCGCACACATGAACGTGCTTGTGTATGGTCGATTCGGATTACCCGATGGATACTCGCGCCAGTTTGCTACGATCGAGCAGTAAATGCAATATAATAAGCGTACGATAGATTAAACCGCTTCGTGCTACCCTTCTGTATAGCAGTTTCGCTTCACCGGCACGAGCGAGCATAATTAAGGCGAGCGTACAAAGAATCCGGCCGCATCCGTGTTGGTTAATTCGCATCGACCTTTAACTCGCGTACGTACATAGGCATATCGGCTAAGGTAATGGCCGTTTCGTGCGATACCATTCTGTCAGAAATCCGAGGGGCTTTGTCCCGAGTCACGAAACGCAAGGATTAAACTGAACAGCGCGCCGTTAATGCGACTGTGCGAACGCCTCGCGTCGAGATTGACGCTCCGGTTTGAGAGTATGCGTGTCGTAAGAGCGTGTGCGTGAGCGCGTAACGCGCGCATCGTCGGGCGCGAGAGTGCCCATAAATCGGCGCCGAAGGGGGTTCGGCATCAACACGCGTTATCCAAGACGTGATATTTTACGCCCCCGTCGGAATTCCACTATTACAAACATTTTGCATTATTCCGGTGAAATTCTTTTTCGAGACGGTAATCGAAGCGAAAGCTAATCCCGTACACAGAAATGAGTTCAGCGCGCGAAAATAGAATTGTATGCGCGCGAAAAGGTTCTGACACAATGACGAATGTCTATTATTAATCCGTGTCACGTGAATTAAAAATGCCATTTCCTTACTTTATTCAGGATAATCGCGTGATTCGACATCGCGTCTAACGAGACTGATAAAAAGCGTCACTTTACGCTGAAACTTGGCATCGCGACGCACAGGAGGAGAATGCCTAACTGCGCGACGTATCGTCGAAGACGCAGGAAGAATATTTTATACTTTACGGCGCCAGCGTCGTTGAGGTTTTGCCGGATAAAAAAAAGTGTCAGCTCTCGCTGGCTAAATCAGAGCTCCGAGTGCATTAAACTCCGTGAATTACCACAAATAGAACTTTAACCGCACATGCCCATTATAATGGCACCCCCTGCTGAAGATGTATTTACGTACTAAACCGTCTTCTCGTGGCTCACGCTGAGTCGTCGGAATTAACATCTGGCCCCAAAAACACGCTACACGGTTCATTGGATCTCTCTTTTTTTTTTATCATTCTTATAGGCTAACTAACTGTTCCACTAGAAACGCTTTCGATTATTTGCGGACGAATGCACGTTCTTGCTTTTAAAATGGTTTAATTATTCCTAGTTATTAAAAGACAAACCAGTTAAATGTTATTATAGTAGAGAAAATTATATTGTAATTTTTAAAGAAAAAGGCAGAAGAATGTGAAAGAGGAATGAACGGTAACCTAAAGGATTACCTAGTCTTCTTAATTCATTGGCGTTTCCTCCCCTTTACAAAAGAAAACATTGGTAGCGTGTTGGAGACAGAATGATTTTGAAAGTGGTTTTACATGTAAATTAGGTCTATTAAAATATCAGAATATAGTTTAGCCGACATTTAAAAACACGAGGGCTGAGGCAACTCTCTATCCGTCAAATCGTAAGCCGCTCCGAGCTATTACGTGCGTGCGTGTTTCTTCATGAATTATTAGAATTAATGAGCTCGCGCACACATTGCTTTCTTTCTACTATGTTGCGAAGGCCAATCATAAATATGCCGGCGGGGAAATTTCGGAGTAACAAAGCAACATTACTTTTTTACGCCACAAAATTTGTTAAGTCACTAATGTATTTCATGCAAATAGTATAAGTCAATATAATCTAGTATCATTTTCTAGCAATTTCTTTCGCCGACAAATAAATATTTGCGAAAATAAAGAGTTTAGGTTTTCTTTCGTAACATGCATAAAGAATCGACAGAGCTAAAAGAAATTTCATTGTACACTCGCAATTTACATAAGCAGTAAGTAATTATTACCGTTAGGCAGCAGCGTGTGAAACGATGGATAAGCGTAACACTTTATATTTGACACGCCGAGTTTGCAGTAAAACTTTCTTACTCAAAATGATTTCCGAGTCGATAATCGATGAAGATTCTCGGGTGGAAAACAGAATAGGACGGCTGTAAAGCGAGCTGGAAGTGGGTAAAGTTGTAAAACGAAATGTTATCGTGCGCCGGATTGTCGGCAGGGGTTGAACCGGGTGAAGGGGAAGCCTTGAATGGGGAAGCCGAGAGCGGGAGCAAGGGTGATGAGAATAAGAGGAAAGAGAGAAAAGGAAAAGAGGGAGAGAAAGAGAGAGAGAGAGAGAGAGAGAGAGAAGCAAAAAGATATAAGAAGGGAATTCATTTTCTTGACCTCGGCAACAAATATAATAATTCTAGCGACCTTTGATTGTGATTCTTTCGAATTAATTTGCAATAAAAAAATTCTCACTGATCTTTTCTCCATAACAATAAGTAATCTTTAATAGCTTAATAGCGACAATAAAATAATTAAAATCTTCCTCTCTCTATATAATATGGATTGAAAGAAAGAAAACGATAAATATTCAATACTTTTTTATGATATAATTTTTGTCGTAAGAAATTGTTGAACATTTATCGTTTTTTTTTTTTACAATATTACGCATAATATGTAGAAAATTTAAAACAAAGCCTCGCTAAAATTCGGCATCATTTAGTCAAGATGAAACGCCTCGCTTTCTTTGTGTCGATTCCAAAGCACCAAACTCCAACGATATCGCGAGTCAAGTGTTTCCTTTGGGATTTTCTGCTTTCAACTCTCTGCGTCTATTCCCATCGACAATGATTCGCTTGGCCAACCCCGACTATCTCGCTTCCACTTTCAGTGGCTAGAATTTACCGCTCTCCCTCTCTTCCGACTGCTCCGACCCTCTCTCTCACCGACCCTCCGTGTTCCCGAGGCGGCAAGCAAAGAACTCTCCTACCCTCGGGCAGCTCACACTGATTTTCCACCCTCGTCACCCTTCCCATCCACCACCATCACCCCCTCTTCCTCCACCTCTGCTTCTGCCTCCTCTCCACCCCCAGAGCTCACGCCGTCACTCGTAGTCACGCCACCAACACGTGCTCCTGTTTACCTCTCCGGTCATATGGTCGGGGAGGTAACGCGATGCACATTCAACGACATTGCCGTTTAATCACAAAAATATCTGCCAACATATGTCGGTCGATCGAAAGTTTATGCAAATTAGAAATATTATAAAAATTATTTTGTCCAAGAGAAGTAAGAATGAAATGGTGACGTAGATATATATAAGTAATGGGGACATATTAAAAATTCAATAGTGTGATCTCATTACTTATGAACCATTTACAGATCTATTATTGACTTTTATTTTGAGCAAACTTCGATTACTTAATTTAGTATACTTGATGGAACGTTATACTCGGATTATCGATAAATAGCATTGTTTCTCATACAATTTATATGTGTAGTAGAATCAATTATTTCGTCGACGATTGTTCCATTGCGCAATAAATTATTACTTTGATATATAAACGTATAGATATATATATATATATATACGGAAAGGGAAAATTATATATATAAAACGGAAAGGATTATCTGTTCTTTATATACGAATTTTAGTCAATATGTTACGATGGAAATGCATCTAATATTCCTCTTAGAATAAAATTATTTCTTCTCTCGAATTATAAATTTAACTTTTACTATTAGCATTTTAGTAACTAAATGCATTCAGAATAAATGATAAATATTATATGAGACATCTTAAAAATAGTTTATATCACGTTCCTGTTAATCATGATAATTACTTGTGCTATAATTCTTATCTGATATAATATCCACACGTGATATTTATCCGCATTTCTTCACAAAAGACAGTAAAGACTAAGAGAATCCTATCCGACCGTATTACGTTTACATGCTCAGCCGATCCCTTAATTAGCATTTCCAGGTCACACACTCGACGTAGACGCGAGTATACGCGGGCGCGCATAATTATCGCGCTAATTATTAGTACGTAGCTAAGTATCTGGATGAAATTATCACCGAGTTGAAGTGAAGCGTATAGAGAACGAAACGCTGTTTTCGATCCCCTGCCAGCAGAATTCCCGCGTGACCAAGCTTTGGGAGAGGAACTTCCTTAATTACCGAGATTAACTTAATGATATCGAGCCAACGAGTACCGCTCACGAGGCACGCAATTGCTGCATGTGGATATGCGCTCGGCATGGAAATGGACAGATAGATCTCAGAACTGACTTCTCCCTCATTTATTTTACTAATCGTTCTGAATCTTAATATGATTGTAATCTTAACATTTTGTTCACTATTTATTAATATTAAATTTAATGTACCAACATTAAACATTAACAAGCAATGTAATGGGGAGATTCTGTCGTTTTGAAAAGATTGTATCCGATTGCTTTTTAATTGTCTCTCAAAGTTACGACATGAAATACGTAAAATTGTGAAATTAATTAATTTCCATTCCCGTGTCTGTTTTCCCGAGGTCGATCTAAACGCGCTTACACGCGCGTGCATGTGATGCATGCGCAGGCGCGTCCGTGCACGCGGCTAATCGGTGTGTGCGAATGTGAGACTACACACGTGCACAACCGACCGGGCGCGCATTTAGAAGACCCGTCTAATTACCGAGATTAGCCTGGGTTTATAATAAGCAGGAGCGAACCTCGTGCCTGACACTCACCTGAGGCGATCTGTGACTGATGTATTTGGGACGTCGTCCTGACGCGGATTTATTTAGCGGTTGTTATTTATCTCCGCCACGGTGCAATTCCGTCGCGGTCGTACCGATCTTCACCGATCAGCCGTCTGTCTGTCTTGCCCTCGTTCCTTCTCCGATGCCGGGTTTACACCCCGCTGACCCGTCTTAATTCCTTTCGAGAGATCCTCCTTCTGCCGCCTCCTCGTCCGCAAGTTTCACGATCTTCCGATAATTTTCTTACGGCGAATATTAACAGGCCGTTCTGAGAGGAGTGGCGGATCGACGTCGAGAAACGGACGATTCACTGATAATACATCGGCCGCCGGTGACATCAGCCTACTTAATTACAACGAGTAATTGCGAGTAATTAGGAGTGATCAAGAAGCAAACAGTTAATTGCTCGCTGCTTCATAAAACACTGCTCGATTGATCCCTTTTTCTCTCGTATCTGCCTAAGGCGATATTCGTAATTAAAAGGAACTCGGAAGACGAGAAATATTTTGAAAACTTTTAACTTTTTAACTGTTTTCTGGATGATTAAAGCGTTTTGAAAAAAAAAAATGATATTTTCAGTTCAATCCTTGACACGGGATGCTCCGACGCGTCACCGGACAGATAACTAACAGATGACACGATTTTCTGTGTAATGTGCTTTTAATTATTCTATTTGCGCTCGTCAAGCCATACACTTCGTAGTTGTTGTCCGTAACATATAATTTTGCGTTGAAAAACACTGACGTGTCCACGTGATGATCACGCGCGCGTCGTAATTATCAGCGCACCTGTCGTGATAATTAGAAGCTTATTAGAACCATAGTCCTTGTTTCATTGCTTTCTTTTGTTCAACTATGTATAGCATATATTCTATCCGAGATTTGTTCTCGGAGCCGGTAGATCGGTTTTGACACGCGCCAATATCGTCGAGTGCTTTAATCGTCGTTTAATTAATTTCGTTTCACCTATTCTGCGCACTTGTCGCGATTTAACGTTTCCACGCATTTACTCCTAATTTATGTTCGAAACGCGGAGCAAATTGGAGCGATTGTCACGGCCACAGTGATTTAAATAGATGAAAATGGAGCGACGTAACTGTCAATAGAGTCTTCCCGACACGTTTCACTGGTCAACTGTCACAGAGTTCACCGCGCTTAACTAACCCGCGAGGCGCACCGAAAGAAGTCCCACCCCTGCGGCCACGTGCTGATAGGCCGGACAAATCGGCGCACGCAGCTGCAAGTTAAACTTCCTGATCACTCTCTGATCCACGAACACTAGCTTTTCACCAACACGTCGCGGATGATCCTTCGCGTTGATTCCCCGCGAGGGAAGTGTCGATCGTTCGATGTTCTGTCTGACTCTTCCTCTAGCGATTAGCTCGAGTTTTCCCAAACAAAATTCTTCCTCAATCGGCACTGTGAACGATGATCCAGATGATCTCACGTGGGTTCAGTGTCTCGGAGCAGGCAGTCGATTCACTCCTCTTCGTGTTGTCCTTGCTTGGCAGCGTGGTCGTGCACGTTGCACGATTGGAGCTCGACGCGAAAACTCGGACCTGAACCCTGACGGTCCGCAGTCTGGCTGCGTAGTGGCCCCGGCGTACAACCGAGGGAAGAACAGCCCGCCGTGACGACTCTCCCGCCCGGTGGATAGTTCCCGTAGAAGGGGTAATGGAGGCGGTACAATGGGCGGTACCGATGCGCGGAGGTGGTCCGCGAGTTACTCGCGAGATCCCGTTGTTATGATTGTTATGAGTGTCCGAGCTGCCTCCCGCGATGCACTTTGGGGGTGGTACAGCCGCGAGAGGTACCTCTGTCCGTCTCTGTTTTTCCAGCATGTTCGCATCTCGCTCGCTCTGTAATATAACCACCACGAGCTCGAACGAGCTCGTAACCGTGATGCAAATCAGCCCGACGGGGCTGGTGAGTTCGCCGGCGGGGATACCCGGGAGGAGCGATCGGCACCGAGGACTGATACGGACTCCCGGAGAGTCTGCCGAGGGAGGAAAGAAGATGATCGGCACGTAGGTATAGTAGTGTCATTTTAAGAACTAATCGGTCAAATTGAGAAATACTCCGGTTAAGTGCTGTCTAGAAACTTGGTAAGAAGATCGCTGGTATCATTGGAGAACGTTTTGTTAGCGACATCGTTTTAAGAAAAAATTAAATAGATTCGCTTTTGGCTATAAAAACTTATATTTTTATTTATATTGTTTATGATCGGTAACATTTAATATGGAAATCAAAAGGTCTCTATACATAGATATTCGCTAATCAAACTAATGAAACTATTTATCAGGAAAATATATGAATTTAAGAATAAGTTATAACGTAAAAGTTTTCCTTACAATGTATAATCTATTATATACGACATAAATTTCAAAAACATCAAAGATTCTGTAAAAATAAGACATTTCCATTCTAAATATATGCAATATAGTAAATTTTTTTAACATCTTCAATCAATGAAGATCTTTTTTCATTAATTTCTTCACAAAATAAGAATATTTCTCATATGTATCTAAATCAAATCGTTGAGAATTGTAAGAAAGAAAAGTTACGCTATCGTTTTGTATTCGTAGATTTCGTGACATTTTAATAAATAAAATTGCTTAATTTGAGGACATAATACGCTCAGTTTGATTAAAAGGACATTAAAGGTGAAATCTAATTTTTTCTTCTTTCCTATTATTGGACGCAATAGCTGTACAGTCGTAATGATAGCAATGTGATGACAAGTATTCATCATGATGACATCTTATTCATAGGGGTATTTAGAATTTTTTTCGGGAAGGAATTATCAATTCTGTTAGCACATGAATAGCAATTTTTTAAATTAATGAATTGCTTTTTTGGATATTTTATAGATTAGAACGTCTTTTTCTTATTCATACTTTTGATTGGGAAAAACATCGGCCTTTGTCAATCATAACTTTTAATCATAAATTAGGGAGAAGGAAAATGAACCCCGAAACTTCTCCTTCCTGGATACACTTATGATTTTATTGAAATATATTTTATATCTAAACTGTTATGGAAATTAATATAACTTCCATCATGATGACGACTGTCTCACTTCAATTGTTGTATTCAATGAATAAGAGTGCTCATGAGATTGTGACAGAAACCTAACACGTGATAGGGGCGTATCGCGGAAATGGCAGTTCATTTCTACATCAATTCCCATCACGTAATTATGAAGTTTGAATTACTTCAGATCTACCGAATATCTCTATTAATATGATTAGATTCACTTGGTTATTAACTTTTATAGACAATTACAAGTGTGTCGGAACACGACGTTCTTGCGCATTCAACCCTCCGACGACGTAACCAGAAGGGCACCATGAGCTATGAAGTTTTAATGACGTTTTAACGACTCAATATGAGAATTTTATATCAAGTACACTGTTTTCAAAAAAATAGTAAAATTCCAGTAAAATATGTCTATGCGAAATGCGCATTCTTTAATGCTACTTTTAATTTATCTAAAACAATTACACTTGTTATAAAATATAAACAATTTGCAAACAATATCTCAGTAAAATTTTAACACTAATGATATTTTAATATCACATTATTATATTAAGAGTTTCTATAAACTATCTAAATAGATTACGTATGTTGCGAAACTACTATTATGAAAAATATAATGTGTTTGAAAGAGACTTGCATTTCTAGTGACACACGAAAGGATTAGAATCATAATTTCTACAGCTTTCACTAATTCTGATTTATTTTGCCTGTTGCGTACGACTTCAATATCGAGATTCTAGTTCCGTTATAAATTCTAGTTCTGTTCTTAATTCCAAATCAGAGCGAAATCACTCGACATGATTTGATTACAAATCCATTCCGACGCGTACAAAACTGTAGGCGTACGAATGGAAGTTACACGCTGCACGAGCTGGAAGGGTGCGTTTATTAAGATAGAATTTTACCCCTTTTCTGCCTATATGCCGCCCTCGCCGACGCCACTGACACCGTCCACACCCTCGGTGTTTTAATGCTCTCCCCTCATTTCTCTAACGTCGACCCTGATCATATTCTGGCATGATTCGAACCTTAGACACGATTCGAACGACCCGTTAGTTTAGTTTAAATATCGGTTCATTTTTTGTCTTAAAATTTCTTTCGCGCACTCTAAATTTTTAGGAATGAAATTTCACTCCAAGAAAAATGATGAGTTGCGCCAATCCGGCAAGAGTGAATCTCACTTCTTTAGGAAGAGAATTTCGTAAAAAATCAACTTTAATGATTAATATCTTACTTTGCGACACAGAGCGACGTTTTTTTCTGCCAAATTCATTCGTTTTGTGCAAAAATATGTCGAACGAACTTAATTTTGTCAAGATTGGATGTAAGGGGGCTTAAGTTTAACATTTACTTTCAGTCTTTCCTTTCAGAGAGTGAAATTATTCACTTTTCGCAGAGATTGAAAATGGACTCTCGCTTGGAATGATTTTTCACTCCCTAAGAGTGAAAATTTCACTCCTGCCGGACTAGCATAACTACTACTCTTCGGGAGTAAAATTTCACTCCAAAAAATTTAGAGTGAAGTTCCTATTAATAAATTCTAATGCCCCTTTTTAATAAAATCCTAAATACAGTTTTCTAATATATTTAAAAATTAATTTCTTCCTATGTGTGTGTGTGTGTATGGGTGTATCATACACGATATATGTAAAACAGAGATGGGCATGTATTTGAAATACTTTTATTTGAAAGACAAGTATTGGTAAGACAATTATATTTTGTATTTTGTGTTTGTTCAAAGTACATGAAAATATTTTGTATTTTGTATTTCATGGGAGCATATAAAAGTATTTTACATTTTATATTTTAGTATTAATAACAAAACATTATGAAAGTATTTTGTATTTTATATTTCAAACTAACATTGATAATCAACCTTATTATTTAAATTACAAGATACGAAAAGCTTTCAATCTTTCGATTTTAAATACAAAACACGTAATACTTTTATGTGATGCGCTAAAATAAAAAATACAAAATATGCTTGTATTGCAAATAGTGTGTTTTAAATAAAAGTATTTCAAATACATGCCCAATTCTGATAAAATACACGGAATTAGTTATCATATTCTTAAAAAATCTAATGGCAAACTTTCAATTCATTTGCTCAATAAATTACAATCCGCTGGAATAAAAACATTAATCAATTTACTTGTCGTGTAGTCATAGTGATAAAGAGGTTGTATTAGTTTAAACATTTGAATATTGTCAGAATAAATAATGCGAGCCATTTATATATATTCTTCTATAACTAATACAATGAACAATCATATTTGCTATTTTTTAAACCATCGTATCGTAAGATTAATGATAAATATAGTATTTGAAGCCTTGTACGTGTGTGTCTGTGTGTGTATATATAATAAGATATTTTAATTAACAATAATAGACAAGAAGAGCTACGAGCCGAAACAATAACTTTAATCTTAAAAAAATAATTATCAACATTTTAAACATAAACACTACAGATATTTCGAAACCGATCAGGCCGTTATCAATATTACATTAAAATTGAAAATTAGTCGTTATGCGTACAATTTTATAAGTATGAAAATAAAAAAAATACATAAAATTATTGTATCCTATTCAAAGGTCCATATATTTTATGGTTCATAATCGACAAAAATGGTATATCTCTGATTCTATGATGGAAATATTAGTCATCCGCAATAATTATTGAGTGTCTTACTGGGTGAATTTCGTTCTTTGTATGAATATAAGTTCTTAATAAATGAGAGAGTCCAAAAATACAAATTTATATCTAAATAAATCAAACGGTAAAAACGCAGTCAAAATTTAACAGTCAAATGAAATAAAGAAGAAGCAATAACGCGATATGTATCAAGAGACGTTGTAACATAAAATGAAGATATTTTAAAATTAAACATGGAAAAATGTTAGACTTAACAAAGATTTATAGCCAAATGATAATCTTAAATAACTACATTCCTTTAATCTTTTCTATTTTAAGAAACATCACTGAAAGAACTTTATAAGAGAGCGAAACCATTAATATACAGATGTAGAGTGACATTATCACGAGGGTCAATGAAATTCAACGCGTGTATCGCGCTCGTCCTTTTTTCCCCGACGAGCGTGTACGTCGACCTGCGTCGAGCATCGACGTAGAAGAAGGGAAAGTCTCTTACACGAAATATACGAGGAAATGAATGAATACAGCCGTCCTTCTTCCACCCGAAGGTCCACGTGCTTTTCACATATAACTCGTCCCCGTGGAGGCAGGAGTGTAGCCAGCTGGTGGTTGAAGTTGTAGGAGTCGGCAGGATGTGGGTCTCTACTCTCTCGCCCTGTTCCTTCTATCCCGCTTTCCCGCTTTCCCGCAGACGTCCCTCTCGCTCGTACCGTATCAGCGACACTCGTCCCACTTCCTGCGAACGTGTCCGTCCTTCTCCCGCCTTCCGACGATCTCCCTCGCTCTTTCTCCACACGCCGCCGACTCATCCCCCGTGCTAGGGTGCTTCGTCTTTCTCCCCCGTCCCACCGGATCGATTAAAACTACAAAGTGTTGCCTCT